ATCTTCACATTTTTTCCATCAATGTCCACATTTTCATCACCAAAATTCACAAATTGTTAGTAAAACTTCCTTTACTTGTACACACAGCCCACAATAACCGAATAAAAATCACAACTACACGTAAGCACTTTGAATTTCTATGAATGATGTCACCGTCAAAATTTAATTTTTTTCTATCAGAAGTGTCACAGCCAACCGCTAAAATTTTAAAATTTTGATACGAGCGCCTCTGGTGTTTGGACGCTAAATTAAATAGATACACTGAATTCACCAATCTAAGAAACCATACCATGGGCCGAAATTTCAAATTAAGTTGCAAGCGACGCAAATGTAAGTTTGTGGCGCAAATTTAGCAGTGTTAGAGTTCCTATATTTAAAGAGTTGGTACACTGAACGACAAACTAAGTCAATTTTGTGTTACCTATGTGTCATTTTATATTATGTTCTCTCCTTTTTCATTAAAATTTTTAGTAGCAACTAATGTCACGTTAATTTCAAAAATTATTTTAAGGTTATAAACTTTGTCCCAGATCTAGTCAGGGGCGTAGGAGATAAATGGACATTGAAGCCAGGCAGAAAAAAATGATGTGTACAAAAAGTACACATAATTAATTGCTGTATACAGCATTTAACATGAGTAATAAAAGCTTGATAGTGTCTCCAGAAAACGTTTTAAAACCTGAAACTTACGAAATTATTAGACCTGACCTGATAGATAAAATAAAATACTCCAAACAAGCGGGGCCTACTCTTTTAAAGAGGTTCCACTTGTCTTACACTGTTTCGTGTATTGGGGCAACGTGGCACAAAAAACAACTCACAGTTTCTTTATGTATTAACACAATAGCACACGGCAGAATTGGTCAGAATTTCAGAAGACAGAGGTCAATTTTTATTTGACAAATTTATTTGGCTTTATGTTAAATTTTACTGCCCCTGATTTGTATCCAATTTTATTGTTATTATAAAAGAAAAATTAGAAAACTGACATTCAGTGTCCCAACTCTTCTAATATAGCAACTCTAAGCAGTATCATTGGTTGCTGCTATGCAACTACGACACATACACCTTTGCAACCCAACTTGAAATTTCGATCTCGGTCCGCTGTCTCACGGAAATATACCTAACGGTTGAAAGTGTTTTAAGCATGCTTTGGAGCTTTTTGTATGATTCATGTGTCCTCATACATAATGATATGGGGCGGTATGACACATTCCCTACTTATTTTACTTGCATTATTTGTAATTGTTTTTTTAATACAAATGGCAACATCACCTTGTTCTCCTATCTTAATATAGTCCCTGTCCAAATTATTAGACTCCTTGGAATTTTGAACACGCAGGAAACGTCTGTGAACGTAAAAATGAATTAGGAAAGGAAAAAATTAATTAATCTCATTTTTCCAACACTATTATCTTATACAGAGTCAGTCACAGGAGAATTACTTCTGAAATAATTTAGGCAGCAACCCATTATACAATTCACATAGGCGTCTAGCTTCCTCATTTTTAAAAATTATAAAATTGAATCCAAGAATACTTTGCATATTTTTTCGTTTTGACAGTAACAGTCAATTTTTGTTAATACAATGCACCGCCTCCTTAATCAAATGTATCAATATCCCGCCTGGGCATTTTGTAAAAAATGCATTGGAGCAGTGATTCCGATTTTTTATTAGTTACGGGGGTTACTAAGGAAAAACTGAATGATTTTTAATTATTAACGAAAAATAACGCAATTAATAAACGCTGGGAAGGAAGGATACAACAAAACAAGATACGCCAGGGAGAATTGATATTATGAGGTTGAACCCTTTAAGCTAAAAAACTGGATATGTCAAAAAATTTCCCCAGATTAAAGCGCCAACGGGAATCAGTTGAACTCACAAAATGCCCAGGCGAGAAAAAGATTATTTCTATGGAGACGGCGATGATACAATGTATAGGAGAAAATCAGCAAAGTAGCTGACCTCTGGTGTCCGATTTGAAACTATTCAAATGGGGAAAACACATTTTGACAATATCAGTTTTCCATTTTTGTCAATTTGACAAGTCAATGTAAATGTGAGTACTTGCAAGCGTTTTTGTTCCGTATCTCATTGCAGAAACTATGTGGGTCTATTTCGGTGAATTACTTTCTAAAATGGAGATTTCAACTTGGGCTATTATTGTTTTAAATAAAAACAATACTTTTAAAAGGTTAGGTGACAGATTAAATAGAACTAAAAGTTGTCACAAAATTTTGTCAAAATCCCGCCAAAAGTCGCCGCGCCGTCGTCTAAGCTACGCGCCAAAATTTTTAGTACCATCTATTGGCGGGTGATTTTCTCCTATTATTAGACAAATAACGAGAAAGTGGACATGCTCTTAATCCATGGAGAATGCAAGAAAAATGTTTCTGCGGCAACAGCTCTGTACTTGGAGAGGTATCCAAATCGAATGCATCCGGTTCCTGAAACATTTAGAAAACTGGAAGCCAAGTTACGACAAGATTGGACCTCAATGAAAGACCCTGTCAGGGGACTGCTACTGGCCCAGAAAATGAATTTAGAGTCCTTGAAGCAGTGGACAATTACTTGTCATTTTGACGACATCACTCATTTTCATCCAGCTCACATTGATTACTGAATTTAAATAAAATATTATATCCAGCTACATACGCTAAATGTATTTTTGGTTGCAAACTAATTAATTTTCGAAGTAACTCTCCTGTGACTGACCCTATACTGTTTCTATGGAGCATTTAAGCTTACCTCTTATGTTGCCTTTAATATACGCTCTTCTATAAAATACGTCGTGAATGACTATATACTTTATAGGAGAAAATCAGCCACCATAAGATGGTATTCTCCCATTTGAATAGTTTACAAGTGTTGATGTGCCAGATGTCTCCTTTCTAATTTTGCCCCGTAGCTTAGACGACGGCGCGGCGACGTTTTAGCGGGATTGTGACGGCATTTTTTTGTGACAACTTAAAAGTTTTATTTAATCTGTCACCTAACGTTGTTTAAAATAATGTTGCCAAAAGTTGAAATCAAAAGCAAAAACGCTTGCAAGTACTCATATCTACATTGACTTGTCAAATTGACAAAAATGGAAAATTGATATTGTCGAAATACGTTTTCCCCATTTGGATAGATTCTAGCCTGTCACCAGAGGTCGGCTACTTTAAATGTCTATAAGTATAGAATAGTAGATTTGTTATTAGGAGTAAAAGTGATTGTTTATGTGGCGAAGCTGAACGTTCATTTTGCCGAACGGAGTGAGGCAAATGGATTCAGCTGAGCCACATAAACTCACTTTTACTCCAAATAACATATACTATTTTATCTGCAAACGATTCAGATGGAGAGAAAAGAGCAACACACCAATAATCAAGTAAATTATCTCAATAATCAGGACGCTTTGCAATAAAATCATAACAAACGTCACGCGTCAGTTTCGGAATTTGTGNTAAATTATCTCAATAATCAGGACGCTTTGCAATAAAATCATAACAAACGTCACGCGTCAGTTTCGGAATTTGTGTTGAGATTTCGAAAGTGTTGATTGATTTAACTGGTGAATAACTGGTGTAGTTTATAGTGCAAAATGTCGAATGCTGATAATCTACCTTGTACCTCTCCAGAAAATGCTGAAAAAGCGAAAGGGACAAGAAAGAGACAACAGTGGTAAATGTCAAAGTAAGTGTCAAGTAAAAGTGAAAAAGCCTAGGCGTAAAAACAGTGTTTTTACTCCATGTCTGAAAAGTAAAACTTTTACCTGTGTCATTTAGTCATAAAAGTGGTCACTTTTGTGACGTTTGCAGATAAAATACGATTATCTTGGCATTTTGTCAATTTTGACATTATTTTGACATACTTCTTTATAATAGTTTCTGAATTTAGTAAAATTTGTGATTCAATATTAGTGTTGCGAAAAATTTTGAAGACAATACAAATTTTATGGTTTAAAACTGTTGTTGTCTGAATACACTGGCGGACACGGAATTTTGACGATTTGTCATTCGACTGACATAAAAATGTAAGACAACTAACCTCACTTTCGGTTTTTGTAATTTTTGTCCTGAATAGCTAGAGAAAAAAATGACAACAAATCAAAATAATTTATTGAACTTATATAAAAACACGTATTGCTGGCATAATTGTTTCGGAAAATCGACGCCAAAAATAAATTTCAACAAAAAATTTCAAATTTTTGTTTCAAACGTCAATTATAATGACAATAAAGCGTGGCTTACATTTGATGTCCAAAATTCCGTGTCCGCCAGTGTAGTTATAAAAGAATCATTCATCACAATGAGAAGTGAGTTAAAAGAAGCCCTTCTACGACACATGGAAAGCATACCTCGTGGAATGCAGCCTTTGTTAAAAACCAGGGGTTTTGCACATCCTGCACATACATACAAACTAATAACTAAACTAATTGATAAGTAAATGGATAAAAGTTTCTTAATTAATTTAGAATAAATATGAATAATCACAAAACAAAAAGTGAGTCTAATAATTTGTTCCTTATTATTTACATTTTTGGTAGAAAAATAATCTATAATCTTGATTTGCCGTCTTTCGGATACAAAGATTAATTGACTGCTGCCTTACTTACTTTCCTAAAAATCGAAACAGGCCCAAGCATTCCGCGTTCATTCTTCCCAGAATTGTCCTGTGTTACCGTATTTATAATTTTGATTGTTCCTGTTGTTCGGTCTGTTATAATTTCCTGAAATGTGGGAGACATTTTCATTTCTCGTGCAAAGCATGCCTTTCCCAAATTAACAGCGAATGTAAGTTTTCATTGATCTTTCAGACACTCTGCTCCTCGCTTTCGTGCCGCACGGTCAGCAAAGACCTCGTAGCTGTCTTATACCTTAGGGCAGTGAGGAACATTTCGCGACACAACGGTTTTTCCTCTACTATCGTTGTCTTTAAACCTTTCGGCTAGCGTTTTACTTTTGGTGGCACCTTTACCACACCAATACCGCCGCAAAACAGGACTGCCATAGGGGCGGCTGGTGTAGTAGCACTGCAGAGCCGCAGCTCTTATTTGACGTACACCAAGTGGCTTCTGAACCCTCCAACTTATTTTCTATTTTTTTTCCTATGCTGCACGAATACAAGAAATTGTGATTGCCAGGAATCACCATAGTTTACTCGCATACTGCCTTAGTCAACAGTGTTGAATACTGCGATCTGCGCATGCGTTTTTGGTAGTTCTAGAACTACAAAGTAGCATCCCCAACAATTTCCGCCTAACCTCCTCCTCATTTAAAACCCTTTTTTTGAATGGAAATCTGTGCTGCAGTATTGATAGCACTCAGTCTGGTGTTATACGTTGTAAGGGAAATATGTCGCCGTTGGAACGATACGTACATTCATTGAATGCGTACTAGCATACTCAGTCTTACTCCGGGCGCTGTGGAGGTCTATTACGTCGCCGACGGTATATTACCATCGTGGATGTGGTCCACAACCTTAATAACGTGAAGAAGTTTTCATCGTGCTTTTATGAAGAAAAACTTAATTTAAAAGTACAGGATCGGTCAATGCCAGGGACTACAATAACTAAAGCTGGTGTAAGTCGCAAATGAGAGTTTCATAGTGAAATTTATTTGCCAAACAATTGAATTTGTCGGTGCAGGACTCTTCCCCTTATGCTGATTTTCTTTATCTTTAACCATGATGATAAAAATAAAAAACAGATTCCTCTTCTAGAAGGTTTAGTTGCCATCTTTCGAAAACGAAGGTTACTAAATCGATTACTGACAATACAAATGTTGCCTACGTATTAGCCAGGTCTTCCCTCGTTTTTAAAACGCGTCCATAAAGTTATATAGGTTGCAAGACAACTACAAATCAGTAGCGAGCCGCTATTGTCTCCCCACCTTATCCGCCGTGACCATTCACGATTCCTCCAGACTATCACGACAAACGCGAAGGGTGGCGAAGGCGTCGAACCAAACGGTCCAACCGAACCAATTCCAACATCGCTTTAATAATTATACTTTCGAGTATTATTTCGGTCTTGAAAAGCATGGATGAAGTGTCTTTTGTGTCTACAAAAAAAATCAGTTTTTAATACAACGTGGGGGCCAAATTTGCATTACGTGTTTCAAGTGGTATGCAGGTATGACCAATGTAGCTGATTTCTTGTGTTGTGGGCATTATAAACTGCTATGGTGGCTGTGTCAGCGATTATTGTGTGGGTATTAAATTTTATTTTTTTTTTCGAAGCGCGATTGTTAGGAGATATTGAATAGTCTTCTACCAAAAATTAGTTAATCCAAGTTACAGCTTGTCTAAAATAAGAAAGGCTCTAAGTTGCGGGTGTGTAGTGGACAAAATAATGGTGGGAACAGGAGCTTCACTTTTTTGTATAGTGCTTTTAGTTGACTCTGTTAGGTGTGATAATAAAATCATTTTTCAATTGTTGGTATAATTTTCTGAAAACAAACTCAAACGCTAGATACCAACTGAGAGTTAAAGTAAACAGTCTTAGAATTTCTGGTTATGGGGAGTCACAATTCGAAACTCAACACCCAACAGTCGTCTTAAAAGATAGCCGTATGTGTATGTTCGTTAAGGATCATAGTCTAATGCTACTGAAATTTGCCTACTATCTAATTCAGCTCAGTTTCTTAGAAGTGGTTTGCATTTTACACAAAATTTCCTCCATGATGACATTTGTCCGCTTTGCTACAAATATGTTTTTTGTTGCTCCACCTTATTTTATTATCATACCGGACAGTCAACTAAAAGCACTATCGACAGTTCTGTTGTTCACATCGGACAACTTCCGCAAAAAGTATAGTCTATAGAGCAGTATGGAGTTTGATCGATACAAAAATAGAATAAAATTGTTTCGCAGACCTCACCCCAGCTAAAGCGGTTGTCCATCACTCTCTTACCGGGACTTGCTCTTTTTATCTTCTGCGCATCTCGCGGCTTTTCTTCTTCTAGTGAATCTGCAGTCCTAATTTTGTAATTGCGATAGATTGAAATAAATGTCTACATCATCATATTCTGACTGCTTTAACATTTCGTGCTTGTCAAATAAAACTTTGTAAGCAACCAAATTGAAAAAAGATATGATAAAACTGTTACGGCCAACCGTTCACAATGAGGGTTCGCACAGGTAAACGGTGCCCTAAAGAGGGACTAACAAGTCTTTTGGCTAATGCTTTGCTTGGAAGTAGGTCAGTGGCTGGACACATTTACCTTAGGTGACATTCCCATAGGTATCGCCAAATTCTATAAAACGTTATAACTTGTCGTTCCTTATTCATACTTTAAGAGCTATCTAAGTAACGAATGACAAATGCGATTTTAGTGTCAAAAGCACCAGTATTTTTGGCTCACTGTACTATAAATTCTCTAAACAAAACACTGGTACAGTGTCTTCTTTTTTATTTTTCAGATATCCCGAACGGATAAAGTCACACAACTGTTGTGCAGCACGTGCCGTCAAATTACGTTAAAAACATACAAGTTTAGAATGACCTCAATGAAAAATGATAGAGATCTAAAGGTACAATTTCCATTTTAAATGATTTTAAGTTCTTTTTTCAATTTTTTTCTTTCTGTTAAGGCGAATTACGTCTGTCCCAACACGGTTCCAGCAGCTTCCAACTCTGCACCCCCTGAAAAAGACACCTTTGCACCCAACAACATGGCTGAGGCTCCCTGTAAAACTGTCGGTTCTATCAAGTACAAACGTGCGCATCCTTCAGTCAGAAAAGCGGCCCATGAAAATCCAGGAGTGATAATTCCAACAAAATGTTTAAAACTGCACATCGGAGCATATATCACATTGCTGACGGATGAAGTTGACGAATGGTACAAAGAGCGTAATTATAGTGACGCCGAAATCGCAAAATTGAAAATACAAGCATACGAATTGGCAATTAGCGATGATAACATCGAGCCTAAGAAACGAAAATTGAATCCGAATGAGAAAAAATCTAAGAAGAGTTCGACTGGAAGTTTAAAGGGAAATGGAAGACTAAGTGTTGATTCCGAAAGTTCTCGACCGGAAAGTGCCTGTTCGAATAGTACAGACAAATCAAACAAACTGACGAAAGGACAAAGTGCAGTAGGTGTTAAGATGGACGTTCGGTTTGTGCGGGATAATCTTCACACTCTTGTTGGAGATGTTGATAAAAAGGTATCACCTGAAAAATCGGACACTAAATGTGTTAAAAACAAAGTCGCGGCTTGCAGTAAAACAGAGACTGCTGTTAGTGTTGAAGTACTTCAACGAAAATTAAATACTATATGTGCTGGAAGAGAATCAGTTGACAATCCAGTTAGTGACACTAACAAGAATGTACTTCGTCAGAATTCTGATGTTAAATCGAATAATCAACTACTTCTTAAAAATGGTATGGCACAATTGGGGCCTATTCTGCATGATGTACTCAACAAATCGAAACAAATGGATAAATCAAATGAAGGAACAATATTAACGGACACTCTTCAAAGGACAGAATCTATGAAACACAAAATCGAGGTTAATGGGAATTTACATCTTGATGTATCTTGTCTAGCCAAAAATATCAAACCAAAAGAAAATCAAAGAGAACCATCTCCTACAAAGGAAGATTCTGGCTTACTGACTAAACCTGCGGCAGCTTTCACCGATTACACATGGCTTGTTCTTTCCGATTCGGAAGACATAGAGAGAGGGGAAAATTGCTCAGACAGCGATCCTGTAGTCCCAGATATCGATAGTGGAAGTACTTCAAACGATTCTACAAAACTGCTTGCAAATCAATCCACGAAACTGCCCGAAAACACTGATAAGGCTACATTCACAGAAGCTTTGGATTTAGTACCGAAAAATAGTAACATGCCTGATTTGTCGTTGGTATCTCTCGTTCCCAAATCCCACAAACTATATACTTGTAAAGTTTGTGATTCGCAAAAATCTAGTCTTAAAGAACTCAAAAATCACGAAAGGAGAATTCACACGAAATGTCCTTTCTGCAGTAAAAGATTTCGATCATTAGTCCATCGAGATGAACACGTTAGAACAAGCTGTCGCATAAATAAAAGTCCAGTGAAATTAAAAATTCCGAAACTTCAGTTAGTTAGAATTGATGAAGTTGAGGAAATAAAAAAGAAGTATCTTTTTGATTTAAAAACTGGAGAAGTAAATGAGAAGGAAGAAAATAACGCTGTCGAAAAAGAGAGTGACAGTGATGATTCAGAAGGTAGGCTTGTAATTTGTGATCCGGCAACAGTTAAAGCCATTAGCGAATTGGAAAATTTTATTAATGAAACTGAAGTCGTCCCAGATAGACAAACGCCAGAAGTAGTGAATAACGGACAGATTGACGACAATAACGACATCATATGTATTTCAGATGAAGAAACCGAAACGCCTGCAGTACAACCCAACACGTCTCCACAAAGCTCCAAAAAGCAAATGATAAATGTAGTAAGCAATGAACTCCTGAAAAAAATCAAGATCCATGACACCGACGTTAACATTCTAAAACGCATTTTATCTCTTTCAAAATCAAACGTAGATAAGAAAACCGACAACTCCTCTCTTTTGGACAACCCCATCGTGAACGGGAATACCAACCGGATCAAAATCTTCAAAAACCTCCGCAAACATCTCAAACGCTACAAAATTCCTATCCAAGTTCAATACGGGCCGACTGTATCCGTTGAATACAAACCCACCAAAGCACCGCCTACGAAAAAACGTAATGACTTGTGGTTTACCGCAATACCCCGAGAAATCCGACCTTTGGTACCAAAGCCATCTCCAAAAAATACCCTCACTTATACCTTTTTCAACGGTCAAGCTGCTGTAGTGACAACGACCTCGAATCAACTTGTAAACAACGCTTCGCAGAAAGTCATCACAAGTCCCGTAACAACATTAGCTAGCACGTCCATTCTGCTAAACCGTACTCAGAATATCTGTACAAGCAGCACTAATAACAACATTACGAATATTATCCTCGTTCCAAGTAATTTAGTGTCGCTATCGACCACACAAGGAACTTTTCCTGTCTTAAGTCATACTAATCCGGTGACTATGCGGAATGACCAACCGAGTGCTAGTACGATTGATTCGCTTCGTTCAATAACTGATGCGTTGATGCCACCAAGTCGTGTATTGAGTGAAAATTCTAATGAACAGAATACTTCAAAAGAAAAGACTCTTCAACCAGCTATTAGGGTTAAAAATCTCCAAGAATTGTCTTAACTTTTGTAATTTTTATTTTTACAATAATAAATAATAATGAATGCGTATTTTGAGTATTTTTATTGAGAAACTTGGGCAAAGGGTAAGAAAAACAACGGTTTAATATTACAGCATTACATTTTTCACAATAGATCTTCACAGTCTCACAATAGTTCAATTTCATTGTAAAAGTTTCAAGTAACAACAAAATATTAGTATAACAAAATTATGGCAAGTAACAAGAAGTTTTTGTTGGTGTTTATTATTTTTCTCAATTAATAATCTATCAATTTTTTACTTGTTATTGACTAGTAAATAACCATTAAGCTGCGTCGTCTCGATAGTTCTTTTATTTTACTTTTTTAAGAAATCAAAGTGTTGCCATATAATCGCCAGAAGTGACGTCAAAGTTACTTTCTGAAAATAAAATAAAAGAAATATCTCTAAAAAAGACTCATTCCCAAATAAAAAAATATAATCGCATATTTTTATTTGGGAAAGTCGCATCACCGATTCAACTTATTGCCTATAAAATTTTACGTACCTAAAAACTCGCAACAAAACCTAAAATTTTACAAAACAATAAATTACAACGTCAACAACGTTTATTGCACACTAATAGATATTCAACAAAAAATGAAAAAAACAAAAATAATTCGTTACGTAATCCTAGAAACGTTCGTTATGCAAACAGGAAACGCCTTAATATCATCAAACAATAACAGATTAACTAGAACCGTCATTGGACAATTTAAGATCACTCTAACTTGTACTCTAATATTTTTTTCGTTTTGAAAATAACTTATTTCAATGTTTTTTTATTATTTTTTCCTCAAGTTGTCAGCAATTCACGTACAAAAGTTACATAAATCGCTCACTTCCGACATTTAGTACTTGAAATGATATAGACTAGACAGACCACGCTAGTCGTTAAGATACGAGTAAAATAAAGAATTTCGTTAATCTAGTTTGAATTGCTTAAACATAGGGCCATTTCCTACCAGAATGTATATCCCCCATCGGAACCTCCTGCCAGAAAGGAGTTTTTCTTTTGTCCTAGCGCCACTTGGTGGCCCGCCATCGCCGCTAATTGCGCGGCGGAGGGCGGAACTCCAGGTGGGGCTGGAGGAAGGACCGGCTGGGCCATGCCATCAAACCTCGCCCCGGCGTCGTACCCATTCTAGGAAGAAGTTAAAAACCACAAGCTCAGTCAAATTTACTTACTGGTATCATGATTGTGGGCCTGAGCTGGGCCGGTTGCATTGCATACGAGTACGCGCCCAAAGAAGGATAATACTGCATAGGAGCGTAAGTAGGGTACCCAAGGTAGGTGGGATATCCGGCGGCGTACATGGTGCCTGGATGGTACATCTGAAACCAGTTTCGGGAGTCACTTCGGTTTTTTTCGAAGTGGAAATGTCTTACGGGCTGCCCCACTATTGCAGCTGGGTGCGATAAGGCCTGATCGTAGGTAGGGGGAGGCCCTTGAGGATAAATCTGTGTTTGGCCAGGTATAACATATGGGGAAGCAGCTGGTAACCCAGGAACTACTACAAATAGAGCAACAGAAAGTGGTCTCATAGTCGAAATTTCGAAAGATTACCTCCATATGGTTGTGGCGTCGGTACAGACTGGTTAGCCTGCGGTGGAGGCTGAGGAGTGAATGTCTGGGCAGATGATGGTGGGGGTACGGCGCCCCCTATAGCTGCAAATTGAATTAAATACGTTAAATATTCGAGCGTAAAGCGCCATCAAGAAAAATAAAAACCAAACCAAATATTTTGTGATTTTGGTTATTTTTTTGGTTTTAAATTTGCAAATGATTATTAACTGATCAAAATAAATCTAAAATGAAGCAAAGAAAAGAAATTAATGTTCTTTAGTGGAAAACACTGAAAATTTGTGACGTTGCTCCAAGATATGCAAAAATATTTTCGATTGTGGTTTGTGGTAAGTTTACAGAATAGGAATATTTTTGCACAAATTTTTCAGATCGTATTTTCGACTAGATTATACAAAATACTTCTATAACTATTATATACATTTAGATTATTTCCGTACTTTATTTATAGAAGAAAAAACATTATATTTGAATGCATGCATTGAATTCATTCTGCATCTTAGGAAAAGTTTAACTGGACTTAGGATAACATTTATAAACACTTGAACTACTTTTATTTACGTTTGTAGAAAATGGAAACACCATCATGTGCCATCCTAAGAAACTCTAGACAAAATTAATGCAGAATGATCTTTGTGTGCATAAAACATGCAAAAACGTAAAATAAAAAAGAAAAAAAGTGGAAAATACACTTCTCAGGTTACAAAAAAGAGATTACCAGAAATGTATTTGTTGTAATAACTATAAAATAAAATCATGCAAAAAATAAATAGAAAGACAGTTTCAGCAGAAATTTTACACCCGTGTGGCCTCTGCTAAAACCGTTGAATAAGAGCATGCGGAATATCTAAAAACAAGCTTATTGGTTGTTTTATTTTCAACATTTGGAAGCGACACTTGATTAAAAAGAATCAAGTGGAATCATTAACAAATTTTTTCCTTTGATGAAAAAATCCGTTTTTAGCCTCTTATACGAATTTGGAAATAACTTCATGCCCTAATATGTACACCATAAGGCATGCAAAAATAAAAATTATTAGATAAGTGTTTTGGTACATTGCTTCGTCGGATAATTAGTTGTACCCATTGAATCGTAATTCGAAAGCAATTTACCCTAGCACCATGCACAAGTAAATACTATGTTCTATCAAAAGAAAAATAATTACTTAATCTAGATTAGTCACATAATATTAATAAGGTAATTCAAACATTTGAAATACAAAATCCCGTAGACCTGTGGCAGAATACGCCCCACTTATCAGAGTTTGAAAAAAAATTAATTTACATCTAATAAGTGAAGCTGATTTTATGATATATTAGCGACGTAGAGGTGCTGCAGCGGTTTTAGCCAACATTGTAGCAAACACCGGGTGAATCCAGTAAGTACCACCCTACACCCACACACAACAAAAAATATGTAACAACACACTCGGGCCTCAGTGTTAATTAATAACCACGAATGCGTGTGAGATCTAAATAAAACGCATTACGACTTGAATTTGCTTATATTGTGACAAGTACATAAAGTACTTCTAGAAATACATATTTGGAAACAGAGTCAAGTCATTACCCTTGCCATAAATATTTCGAAACCTATCACCGTTGGTCGAAATTTTGCACTTTACTGTATTCCGAAGAGAATTGTTTAGGATTAAACTCGGTAGCAGGCCATTTTGGGCACACCGAAAGGTGATAAACACTTATAAAGTGATTAACTCTGTTTTCAAACATTTTTGGAACATACGGAAAAATAACGTTTACCAAAATTTGTAAAAGCAATACACACTTTATTTGTTTTGTAAATAAAACGTGTTTAATCCTAATTCATGCTTAAGAATTTATTCTCCATTTTGTATTACTTGTCCTTGAGATATATTTGCTAAATTTCTTTTTCTAAAATTCTTCGCCTGAAGAAGATACAATAAAGGTATCGAATAGTCGCGACGAATTTAAGAATTTATGTTTCTATTAACTTCTTTTAATTAAAATAGCTAAGAGGGGTTTTATCGCGCTGCGTTGATGCAAGGAGTATTATTTGTAAAATACGACTTTACATACATTTCTAAATATGTAAATGTGTATTTTCTGCATTTTAATACTGAGGCACTTCATTTAGAAAAAAATTAAACGCATAATTTATTTCTAGTTGTATGATACATTTTTTTCGGCTTTTTAATTTTTAAACAATTACCGAGTTCTTGGCAATGATAGAAAATCATTCGCGGTAGACAATAACCGGAAAATGATTCATAACCGGACATGCGATTAAGATAAATCCAGGACCATTCTGAAAATGCTTCGCCAACAAAGCTATACAATCTACTGCGCATGTTACAATTGTTGACATAATTTAGTTACTTTTGCTGCCAACATAGACACAACCCTCACACTAGAGGTGGCGGGCTAGGGGCTGCCAACTTTGCAATAAATTAAATGGTCACTATGAATTGACCGCGACTTTAGATAGATATACGAGTTAAAGACATGGCGCCCACAAAAACGCTGGTTACGATGTATCAAAAATATAGAACTTCTAAAAATAAGTGAGAACAAAGTCAATTGCTTTTATCGGTTTCTGCCTGTTAAGAGCAATGTTACATACACAAAAGTAGTCTGATAACTATGGCATAATCTTATTGATTGCTGTAAAATTTTACAATATTGAAATGTCAATTTTACAAAATCGATATGTCATTTTTACCTTGCAGATACAAAAAGTGGAAAAAACATTTCATCGTTTAAGTAGTAGTTTTTGGACTTTTCGTTGCCAAATTTCTAAAAACTGTTGGCGGTACCGAATTTGTTCCTTTTTTGGTGTTTCATCTCTAAATTTTCTTAGACAATTTTTTATGTTGACGTTTAATGACATTGTTTTCAAATTAATTCAAAAAAACGGAACTGCCAACGATGAAATGTTCCAAAAGCACCTGTTCCAATTTTTGGCTTATTCGACAGAAACCGATAAAATCTTGAGCAAACCTCGGATGCAATAATGTCATAACAGCCTTAGATGTCTTAAAATCCTCGCTCACAAACTTGCTCGGATTTCAAACTGACATCTACAGCTATTATGACATTAATTACATCCTAGGTATGTTAATAGCTATACAAGGTGATTCACGAGGAATAATGAGTCTGCCCAAATTCTCGAAACCACCATTACTTTTCGCAAGTTGCTTTGCGACAAATGTAATGTTGGTTGCATCGAGAATTTGGTCAGGCTCATTATTCCTCGTGAATCACCCTGTAATGCACCCTAACAGCTGAGTATCAATTCCTGGCCTTAAACTGTTTAAAACCCGTTGCAGCAGGTCAAGATTTTGCGATTTCTTGCAAGCAGAGAGGGACTCAGGAAATTATTGGAGTCGAGAAAACTGTTATTTCTGAAAAATAAAATACTTTACAACCAATAAAAAATCGCTATTTATGTATCAAGTACGCAAAATAGGGTTTTAGGGGACGAATCATAATTAATGACGAGGCGACGTAAGAGCCGAGTCTTTGATAAGAGGAGTCACCTAAAACCTTTTGCGTACGTGGTGCATACAAGATTTTTTTGTTAATTCTCCCAAAACACGAAATCACACCTCTTACTAATTAAAAAAATTTCGTTACCCTAGTACACAATTTTATTTATTAGTCCGCAAAAACTGTTTTTGGGGTCGTGAGTACCTAAAATAACCGTTTTGCGTACTATTTTATTAAGTCCGGAAAAGACTCATTTTAGGGACTCAAATGAATCCTGTCCCTAAAGCAGCTGTTTTCGGGAGCGTATACAAAAAACATTTTTATTAATAGCTGTACAGAAAAAAAAAACCGTAGCATTTAAAATTAGCTATTGAATATCGTAGTTTTCATACATAAAGCTTGGCATAAAGAGAATATGGCCCTGGAAACCAGCCCAGCTGGCTAAGTTCGAAGATATTTTTATTGGGGGTAGGTACACCTGTACCAAGGATAATTACATCCATAATAGTCTAAGATCCGAATTAGAGTCGACCATCACCCATCTACTTACCGGATGAAACTTATTTTTTATCAAATTTAATATGCAAAGGAATGTATCGCGAATGGGTTGCCTAAAAAATATGGTCAAGGATATGATTTATTAAAAATAAAAAAAAATATATTTTTTTATTACTTCACCTACTTGCTTACCAGAAAAATTAAATACCAATCGAAGTGTGAAGTATGAAAAAACTGGGTTGCCTACCTTTTTCTGTTCACTACTATTGGGTTGTCAGGTGTGAACAGGTAAGTCGATGTAGTAATTTGCACCGATCTGCTTACGCAATAAATTATACAGGGTGAATATAAAGTATGGAACCAAGCGGTTTTATTTTTAATCATTTGCCTCCAGAAACAAATAATTAATATAAAGTAAAGTTATATAAAAAATGTGATCGTATTTTCAGAACGAAATTTTGTTTTGTTTTTGAGTTATACCTCAAAAAATTCGTAATGTTTTAAACTTAACCCAATAACGTTCTAGCCTGCTCTGTTGCTGTCTGCAGCGGTCTAGCCTACTTTGCAACGGTCTGCACAAGTCTAACCTGCCGTAATCTGACCGGACTAGTCACCTCATAAACACCCACTAAACACCGGACAACTTACTGCGCATATATATCTCCTACAGTTACAGGCAGCAGCGGTCTAACCTGGTCTGCAGCGGTCTATACCACCGTGCTGGATATCACTACAACAAAAAATTGTGCGTACTATTTATGTAAATTCCACGTGGCTCCATGCAACTGACTCCGATTGTGTGAAACTGTTGCCTGAAAACTGCGGTTGGATTTAAAGGATTTTTTTTTAAACCAACAGGATTTGTTGGAGACCAAACGCCTCTGAAAATAGAGGATGTTGTTCAGATGAATGAAAAACAAAAGGCTGGCGAATCTTGCGAATTAGAGGGTCTATTTAATTTTTATGAATTGGATTTTGAATAATTTTCAGCAATGAAAATAATTTGACATTACTTAAGTATTTTTGTATTAGAATATTTTTTTACATGACAATTCGTTTATCATTATCAATATTGGCACATCTACAAATTTTGATTATTTGATGAGTTTTATTTTTTTTTATTGAAAACACTTCTAGAGACTAATAGTAAATTTAAAAATATAATTATTCATCCTTGTGTTATGGAACAATTATTATTTAGTGTCCAACATGAAAACATTAAAAAATAATAAAAACTGAAGAAATTAACAAAATAAGTTTGTAGTTCCACATTTTTTCAAAGTTTTCTCCAACGTCCCACTGAGTCTTGTTTCTCTGTTGCACATCTTTATTTGCTCCGATTTTTCAATTTCAAAGCTCGGCAATCCTCATTCATTAACGTTTTTTCGCAGGCAACCTTATACCACCGTGTTCGCAATAAAATTATATTTATTCTCATATATATTTTATTGCGCAAGCAGATCGGTGCAAATTACTACATCGACTCACCTGTTCACACCTGGCAACCCCATAGTAGTGAACAGAAAAAGGTAGGCAGCCCAATTTATTCATACTCCTTAGGCTTCATACTTTCGATTAGTATTTAATTTTTCTGGTAAGCAAAGTAGGTGAAGTAATAAAAAAAAAATTATTTTTTTTATTTTTAGTAAATCATATCCTTGACCATATTTTTTAGGCAACCTATTCGCGATATATTCCATTGCATATTAAATTTGATAAAAAACAAGTTTCATCCGGTAAGTAGATGGGTGAAGGTCGACCCTAATTCGTATACTCTACTATAAAGCAATTGAATCTGTTCTCACTTATTTGAAGAAGTACTATCTGGTACAACTTTTCGTCATTCCCTAACCCATTACTACGCTATTTGCATCTCTTTATGATCAATAAATGTCATTTACTATTAAGTCATGGTGTCAAAATATCTGCCACCTTCGCGAATGTAAACGGAAATTTTCGGTAAAATTCGGAGTTGGAATAATGAGAAATGGCATATGATTTTTTAAGAACAGGATGCATTAGACAAAGCGTAATGAATTCGTGGGAAATGGAGAGTTGTATGCCATTATCTTTGCTATATTTTTTTAAGAAACGACTTGTGTCCATATCAGTATGTTGCCGTATCTTTAGCTGGTATATCGTATGAGTTTTCAGTTTTGGTTGCACTACCTTTGTTTCAATAGTGGAACTAAGCAACTTTGTTTTTTTTTATTGATAATTTTTTTATAGCAAATAGGCCTCTCTTAACAAAAACTGATACGAAATAATGAAACAGAGATAATATCCTCGAATATAAAAATTTAATTATGCTGCAAATACACATGTTTTCGATTTAAAACTTGTAGCAAGATGGCAAAACTTTTTAAACGAGGTAACTTTTATCAGAAGTTGGTGTTCCAGTAATCGATTTTATTATTTAGTTTATATTGTATATGTCTTGAAAGCATTCTGTCCGATTTTAAGTCTCGCTTGATGATTTTTTTTTCACAAGTTATGACCTTATGGACGCCAACGCAAAAGTAAAAATTGAACCATCTGTTGTCAAAAAGCCGTTGAAAACTGTGATTGGATAAATATGACCGCAAAGGGTCACGACAAAATGGACCCGAGTGGGAGTTGCGTATTTTTTGGACTTCATCATGCAGTGATAGACCACAAATGTCTAATGTTGGACCACTGAGAATTTTTACATCTTCAGCTACAGTAATTGTTACAACACTGCATTGTCGACCTGTACTGAACCAAAGAAAAGTGTGAAAAGAAGCAAACATTCTGGTTGAAAAAAATGCAGTGTTGTATGCAATCCCAACCAAAAATCTAGTGAAGGTAAAATCGTTGAGCGGGTATAACCAACAAGCATCAGCCACTGTTTAAAACACATGAAAATAAATATGTACTGTATCGTTTGCAGTCCGAGATCCTTTGCGGTCCGCGGCTCCTCCTCAGTCGATTTAATACCAGGCGCTGGAATAACACATCGTCATCATATAAATCGCCCTAAATCACATTCAGTTTATTAAAAACCCTAACATTTACCTACTGCAGTATTTTGCAATGTAGGACAAGGCTATTAAAAAGGCATGGGAACAGAATGAGCAAGAACATGGAAGTTACCTGACTCAGACAAAGATAACCTAACTGTTAGTATTGATTGAAACATCCTGCACGGAACTATGCAAAATTTTTACCCAAATCTGCCTCTCAGATTTCTAAATGGTTTTACTTGCAAAATAAACGGCGGATCGCGGATGGGGTCCTAGGCCATCAAGGGGATGCACAATGAGGCGATTCATACCCTCAACCACACCAATACCACAACTTACCTTTTTTATCGCTCATTTTCGCTGGCAACTCTACTAATCACAATTATTGTATGAAATAAATTACAATTATTAAACTTGTTTTGTGTAACTTCACCTCTTTTACCACTACACAGAACAAACGTCAAAAGACGCGCATGTGCACCGCCACCAACCCAACAAAATTAACAAATGCCTAATAATAATGATTATAAAAATAAGCAACATTATGTCCTATTAGTAAACTGGTATACCACTGTAGCAGCAATATAGAATACTTTTTGCAATTTCAATACATGGCGTGATTGCTGTTCCATTCCCCATTGGCAGCACTGTGTTTTGGCGTTTCATTGACAGCTGATTGGCAGATTTCTTAGCTCAAAATTTAACCAAAATTTTTGTGAAATGTCTTTACCAATTGGTCTTGTTTCACACACAAACAAAGTGAAAAGCTTGTATAAGCAAGCCTTGCGATGTCTCGAGGCTTGGTATGACCGAAGGTAAGGTATGTCCCGATATTATGTCTTACATAATCCCCGCTTCTTGCAGAGAAGTGTACAGATATCATGCCGTTTTGATGAGAAACCGCTTCGACTTAAATAAAGACATTAAAGATATGAGAATTGCTAAAGAATTAATCGCACAAGGCGAGGAGGAATTGTTTCAAAAACAGCACTGGTTGCCTAGAAAATGTGTGTCAAACCAATTGATTTTATTTTTTTAATTCATTTGTTTCCTTGCAGTCCCCCATTCTCCCGGCGGTGTTGCCTATGGTCGTGAGGTGATTCCCCCTGATTGGATTATCGATCACTGGCACCCTTTGGAAAAGGCACAGTACCCTGAATATTTTGCGAGACGGGAGCAAAGGAAACGGGAGTACGTGAAACTGTGGGAAAAGAAATTCGGTAAAAGCGAGGCTTTACCGCATTAAAACAAAATTCATTGTGTAGACATTTATTGAGATGCAGTGTAATAAATAGTGAAACTTGAAATAAACTTTCGTAACAGATTTCATGAAAATATTGCTTACTGATAAATGTAGCGTACACACAGGTTTGAATGAAAATATACAATAATTCCTTCGACGTTTGACATAATTTCTAGAAGTAGCTACAATTCACAACACTTTGAACACCCCTACCTCTACGTTATTGTGCCTGCACAACCACCTTAACTACGTCTAGAAAACTTTGTAATAGTTTCTTTGTCCAATGAATATTTTTAGTAGCAACTTTTAATACTGAAACGTGAATATTCAAACCATACTGGTGCACTTAACTGAGATTATTAGGAGATGCCTCTGCATTTTTAAGGCACTTATCTCATTGTGATGTTGAAGAAAACGTGATGATAACTATTGACCTATTTTTATTTAAAAATTGTTTCGTCTAGGCCATGATTTGGATGGAAAATCATTAATTGCGCCTTACACAAATGCAAATAAATTAGTGCTAAAGAAAATCATTTAACTTAGGGGAATCACAGATAAACAATTAACAAATCCACACAATTATCCATAGAGTTTCTCAAGAATGGTCGTGGGGGCATCTGCTTGATACCTCGATATTTGTCTCAAAAGAGCAAATTTTTTCATACGGCCTTTAGACGACTCCATGTCATACAAAGTACACAAATTTAAAAGCAAAGACTCATGGAGGGCGTGAACTGGATTCGATTCTATGGCACTTTCTAACACCTTTATGGCTTCCTTGAGGTGGCCGCCGTAGAGGAGGCATACCCCCATGTTGTTAAGGATCTGCAATAGAGGAAGAAGCATTAGGTAATTGATTATTAAGCGCAATCGTGAAAAACTCCACTTGTTGCAACTAAACGAAAAAAAAAAAACAATGTATGTTTTTAACCATTTTTAAGACCAAACATACTCTAACATGCGTTAGATATGATTTAGTTTGCGCAATAAATTTTATTAAAAATTAAATTGAGATATCAATATCAAAGTTTACCATAACATTTGTAGGGTCGAGAGTACTGGCTTGCTGGAAGCAGACGTAGGCCTCATCGAACGAATTCTGCGCCACGGCTAACAACCCCCGATCCACGTATTCCCTCAAATCCGTCGTATTGCCCCTCAAAGCCCTTGCTTCATCAAAACAAGTCTCTGCTCCAGCCACATCGCCTACTTGCAGTCTCAACCTCCCTAAAGCTGAATATAACATATGTCGTGCTGTGCCATCCCTTAAACCCATATATCAGAAACTTTCTTCCTCTGACGAAAATTTTACCTGTGACACAACTCCTCCATTACCACGATTGCCAATTCGTAATCTTTTAAAGCTAGAGCGCAGTTAACAATAGAGTGCATGACTCTAGTTTCACGCCCCATCCAAAGTCGGATTGAATCCGTACGATCTAATTCGCTGATTTCAATGGGACTGCCGTCCTCGCTCAGCCCTTGCTTCAAGTTATCCAACATTTGTTTTATTGTAGATTTCATACTGTACAGTTTTGTTAATGAGTCATTGGGTTTGCCGCAATGCATTGGCAGTTCGCTTAAAAGTAAACGAAACGAAAACGAAGCAATGGAGCCTGGACGACCCCCATACATCTCGGGATAAAACTGCAAAAATGCGATGAGTAGTGAAAATAGATTTAATTAAATCAACTGACTTGGTAAAAAACGTCCGGTTTGTCGAGCTGACCAAAAGGGGCAGCTTCCGATTGAGCAATTCCAAAGGCTTTGATTTTGACTAGAAGGGCAATACGGGTGAACCATAATTGCAACGAGTGAGGCGAATGTTTGCTAGGATGACCCGCACGGCCTCGACCCTGACCATAAATGGTCAAAAGTCTCGCAGTTAGATTAATTGCTGCTCGGTATGAACCTGCCTGAACTAACTCTCTCAGCCCCCTTTCATCCTGCGTGACGTCACTTTCAGATAAAATACTGCGTTGCGCGGCTTCTGCCTCCCCAAGACACAAAGTGACTGCTTCCCCAATAGTGTCGCCCTTTTTCAAATATTTTATTTTATTTTCCCCCTTTGGCAATTTAACTGTTAACATACCAAATCCTCTTCTAGTAGGACTCCAGGCATGGTGAGGAGTTCTCTGTCCGGAAAATACGTTCCGGGAGCTGCTGTGGAACACGCAATGAGGCACTGTCTGGTCCTCTCGTTAGGTATCCACGCATCTCTCCTGCGGTCCGATTCCGAACCTAGAGCCACTCTAGGACAAAAGCCATCCTACAAGAGTTAACCAGGATGTGGCAAACTCAAAACTGGGTCACTTACGTCGTTGTTTGGTGTTATGTCGAGATTTGATATCAAGCCGTTGGAGACGCTGTGATTGTTTCCAATTAAATCGAAAAATGATGTCGTCTGATCTTTGGCCTGTGGTGGCGTTTCGGCGAATATGCGACACACTTCTGGTTCATTTTTCTGAGCACTTGGGAGATTGTCATCAACTAGTTTAAGGTCGGTTATTTTTGTGGAAGCTTCATTTAGTTCTTCAGATAGGTCTATTGTCTTTACTTTATCGTCGGTTTTTTCGCCAAAGTATTGACTCAAAGACGGAGGCATTCTTTCCGACATTTCTATGAAATATTCACTAAATACTTTGATCTTTACACGGACCTATAATAAATAAATAGATAAATACGACGAGTCTGTTTACATTCGTTTATTAGCGAGTGATGGCGAGTGACATTGACACCCACTGTAGCCAATCGTAGAAAAAAAATTGCCGCTGTCAGATTTGTACCGGGCGATCAAAAAAAAAATAAATTAGAGTAGGCGTCGATTAAATTCTATCGTTGACATCACATCGGCTGGGAATTTGGGTTGGAAATTTTCCACAGAAACTGAAAATGACCATTCACCGTTTTCGTCTTGTACAGCATTTTTATAATAACTTGCAACAATAAAAATTTTCTGCTAAAAGAACATTATTTCACTCAAAAAAAAAAAGAATAAAACGCAAACTTGTCAGTTTCCGCTGACATTTGATGTAAAAAATCAGGATTTCCATCTTAATTACCGCCTACTCTAAGTATTTTTTTTAATCGCACGGTACAACAGTTCGGTTTTATTCACTGATAAAACAGTTTAATCAATCGATTATTGGAACCCCAGTTAGAAAAACGCTTTCGAAAGCAATATCTATATGTAGATATCTACCTACAGACCTGCAACTGTAGATCTATCTACAGACTTGTAGATCTATCTCCAGACCTGTGGATCTATCTACAGACCTGTGGATCTATCTACAGACCTGTGGATCTATCTACAGACCAGTAGATCTATCTACAGCCCTGTAAATCTATCTACAGACCTGTAACTGTAGATTTAGGTATTTACAGACCTGTAACTGTAGGTCTACCTGTAGATATATTTACAGACCTGTAGGTCGATTCAGATAAGATAATGAGCCTCACGATCTGGCGATGAAACCCAAAAAAAAACAAATTTCATTTACGTCTTTGATCCAATTTAAATTAGGATTTGCAAGAGTTGTAACCAAGTTTTCATCTTATGTCACTCTGACATCAGTGCAGAGAACGATCATTAGTGCCACTCAGTTCTCGCGGAATTTCGGTGTGAATCCAATACAAAATGTATGAAAAAATGAAACATTAAAGGTAGGCAAACAGTTTTTTTATAAATCATAAATTGCACTGTCAGAACAATATAAGATAACTTGGATTGCAAATGCAAATCGCAATTAAAAATAGATCAAGACGTAAATGAAATTTGTTTTTTGGGTTGCATCGCCAGAATCTCGGGCTCATTATCTTATCTGAATCACCCTGTATCTATCTATATAGACCTGTAGCTATAGATCTAAATAAAGACATGTATCTGTAGGTACAGACCTGTAGCTGTAAATCTTTCAATCAAGGTCACAGATTCCGAAATAGCGACATCAAAGGCGCCGCCGTTGAGTGAACCAATAGGGTAATTAGTAGTCAGAACCATTTTTTTACTTTCCCTATCCTATAAGTAAGGAAAGTAATGTAATCGGCTGAAATTTGACCTATCTATACAGCGTGTTTACGGTCTTGAAGTTGAAATTTAAATGAGATGATATTCACGGTAGAAGAAAACTAATACGCTACATAAAACAAAAATTCACGTTTTTAAAGGAAATTATTCATTTTACACTATTTGTTTGAGAACTGCTGCTTCGGCTGCAACAATGGCCATTAGTATCATTACGTTGTGTTTCACCATAAATTATAATCACGACAACCAATTTATTATTTTAATATTTTGCCACACATGTTCATAAATTTGGAGAAAAATTAAGAAAAACGAATCAAACCTATTGGAAACCAAGCATTCGCTGAAAGAGATTAAACAGAAGATTTTCGAATTTTGATAAAAACTCAAGCAAAAGCAAATCAAATGATGACAGTGTCAAAACTATGAAGTGACTTTTCTCTTTCATTGTCATGGATACGATTTTTTTATCTGTTGCAACCATCGCCGTCTCCATAGAAATAAGCCTTATTCTCGCCTGGGCATTTTTTGAGTTCAACTGATTCCCGTTGGCGCTTTAATCTGGGGAAAATTTTTGACAAATCCAGTTTTTTAGCTTAAAGGATTCAATCTCATAATATCAATTCTCCCTGACGTATCTAATTTTGTTGTATCCTTCCTTCCCAGCATTTATTAATTGCGTTATTTTTCGTTAATAATTAAAAATTATTCAGTTTTTACTTAGTAACCCCCGTAACTAAGAAAAAATCGGAATCACTGCTCCAATGCATTTTTTACGAAATGCTCAGGCGGGATATTGATACATTTGATTAAGAAGGCGGTGGTTGCAACAATACAATATTATCTGGACAAGGAAATAATTCCAGCGACCCTCAAACCGTGTACCAATATTTTGGATTTAAATAACATTCTTGATAATAACAATTGTGTGAGTTTTTTTCTCGGTTACAGTATTTCTGTATTCTTCTATTACCCGGTCAATTTTCAACTCCAAGACTGTAAACACCCTGTATTTTTACATTTCTGTACGTATTATAGCTTCAAGACACTAAAAAGTTGTGGCCGACACAATGTAAAACGGGCCTTATGCAATTACATTTGAGTGCAAATTATCAAAAAAGTTGGCAAATTTTTCAGAGATCTACATAGTGTGAAAAAGGTTGTTCCCAAAAAGGTTAAAAAACCATCAAAAGGAATATCTTGGTCTTGTCAATGCAGTGTCATGGTCAGTGTTAAAAACGAATTTGAAAAACATGGAAAAACTTGATAGAAGGTTGGAAGATGCCTGGCAATTATGAACTTGTGAACTGTGACAAAAACAATGTCAAAAAACTGGCATTTATTTAACAGGCAAAATTACATTATAAAAAAATCAATTTGTGTTTTTTTTTTGCACTCAAGTGTACCTGACTTTCGGTTTTGTAATTTTTATCCTGACTGAGAAAAAAATACAACAAATCAAAATAATTTAATTGCTGGCATTATTGTTTCGGAAAATTGAAGCCAAAAATAAATTTCAAATTTTAGTTTCAAATGTCAATAATGACAATAAACCGTGGCTTACATTGACATTTTTTGAATTGACATAAATTTGATGTCTAACATTCCGTGTCCGAAATTGTCCAATAGGAGAAAATCAGCCGCCAATAGATGGTACTAAAACATCAATAATGTTTTCCCCATTTGAATAGTTTGCAGTTGATGTGCCAGACGTCTCCTTTACTAATTTTGGCGCGTAGCTTAAACGACGGCGCGGCGACTTTTGGCGGGATTTTGACGAAATTTTGTGAGAACTTTTAGTTTTATTTAATCTGTCACCTATCGGTTTTTAAGAGTATTTTTTTATTTAAAATAATAATACCAAAAGTTGAAATCTCCATTTTAGAAAGTAATACATCGAAATAGACCCTCCCACATAGTTTCTGCAATGAGATACGGAGCAAAAACGCTTTCAAGTACTCACATTTACATTGACTTGTCAAATTGACAAAAATGGAAAACTGACATTGTCAAAATATGTTTTCCCCAATTGAATAGTTTCAAACCGGATACCAGAGGTCAGCTACTTTGCTGATTTTCTCCTATTGGATCATGTTGGCATATTACCACGTCGCAACTGCGTTTTTTTAAGGTGAAATAAGTCAAAAACTTTTGATTTTTGTGTAAAAAAAAAAAGGATCTCCGTCACAACTGAGCCCAATTGACAAATTTTAAGTCAAGAAACTCGACTCTTTTATACAGAAAAGACGTTCTAAAAAGTGATAGAAGTGGCGGTGGCTGTGGGTGGTCCGGCTTATAGTTTGTTAAATGTTTTGTACACCATGACATAAATTGTAAGATTTGTCGTTTTCGATAATTAAATTCAGGGATGCATGATCTGAACGGCCCAAAAACTGAACTCAAAATACAGGGTGATTCTTAAATAGACCGACAAAAATTTATCACATCTTCCTACGGATAAATGGAGACAAACTTTACCCTTTTTATGTTTATACATTTTAGGGGCAAAACCCCCTTAATCCGTGCCACTTACGGCGTTTATGAATTGTTGCAATAATCAAGTATGTTAATACCATGGTTACAACTACCTGTGCTAACATATCAGTGGCGTAAGCTTTACTTGGAAAATAACTTTAATAAATTTTATTTGAAGAACGTTTAAACAAAGAATTTTTTAAATATTTTTTCCAGCATGTTCTCATTTGATACTATCAAGGATAAAATTTTGTCGGTCTATTTAAGAATCACCCTGTATAACCTTTGAAGAGCTGTGTAGATATATCTCGTGAAAAAAGGCTCAAACAATTTTTCGTCATGGGAACTCAGTTGGATGTCCTTTATCAGCACCCAAAAGATGGTTCATTAGTAAGAGGTTCAAGTCGATAAATGTTTTTTTTTTTAATGATTGAACATTGAACCAAATTGTACTAACAACAAATTAACTGAGTCGTTCCATGCTTGCTGGTCGTTGAATTTGCAGAGCTATTTATAAGGACTGAGATCAATACTTACCTACATGCTCCCTCAAATCCTAATTTACAATGTAAATACATAATATGAAAAATCCAAATAAAAAATGACTTTATTAATACGCAACAATCACTATCGGATAGAAACTTATAAATACGATAAATTATTCTTGAAAGGCAAATACATGAAATTACTTGAAAGTTTTAAATAGCTAATCCATATACTGACACAATGCAAAACATGGTCTTGTTCTCCCAACGAACGGTGCAACTCCCATCCGTGTTATTATCCCAATAACATGAACTGGCGGTGTGCAAACCGGCCCCATTCTTCTGCATGATAGTACATGTCACAATATATTTGTATGGTTTCATCAATTTCGTTAATTCTGATGTGCAACACTCCACGACCGAAGTCGTCCAGTCGTTGACTTTATTTTGGGAATATGCATTACCTCCTATTACAGTTTCTATCGCATCTTTAATGATTTTACTCACATCGTCGACCACGAACTGACCCTCCTCTTGTAGGTCTTGGTCCAACACTTCTTGATTGGTTTTCTCCATGATACTAGAATTCTTCACATTAATTCTTGAAAAATACACTATTTTATATGTAACTCACTGATATTTCGCCTCAAGCGGCACAAGAAATGACAACAAACTCACCCCTTTTCAAAAAGCGGAAACGTCAAAATCATGTCAAAATTGACAAGGCGTGGTAATACCAACCTAACGAACCGTCAATGAACATCACCAAAAAAAATATTAACCTTAAATTAAAGCTATTAAATATTAACATTACGAAGCAATTCTTTTCAGGACATCTCAATGAAAACAATGATAAATTCTTATTTTAATAACATGCAATAATTATTCACTCTTTTTTGCAAATAGAACAAAAAAATGTTAGTATGTAGGTGACCCACCACCAATAGCCCAAAAATACACTAGAACACAAATTCCAGAATTTATTAAAACATGAAAAAAGCGTAAATTGTAGTAGTAATTAAATCTTTAATTAAATATATTTAATAAAAATTAAACAAATATAAATTTAGTTCCCATTGAGGACATATCCTCGTCCCCAATTGTGTCCTCCGAAAAATCTGCCGCGCGGCTCTTGGTTTGGTCTCTGTCTTTGTGGGGGCACTCCAAACCCATGTACGCCACCCACTTGATCAGGAAACCATTGCTTGAAAATTGAGGGTGTTTGTAGTAGAGCAGGCCCCCCCAATTCTTGTGGGTATTTGAACATGAGGAAAAAGTATAAATGGCCAATTAAAATTCCAATCAGTTCTTGAACACCACCCCCGGATATAACCATGTTAAACGCTAACAATACCCAAGGAAGGTACATTGCTTTGAATCGCGTTCCAAACCAGAAATTCACAATTGTGTCTTTATTAAGCTGGCACCAAATGTATAGCACTGAGAGAATCATGGGGTCCAAAAGTAACTAAAAAATACGTTATTTCGATTAAGACAAATTCTAGTTCAAGGGGACTTACAGGCATTTCAAGGAGTAATCCCACAATAACGCAGCATATCCAGTTAAATATTAGTAGAAAAAAGTAGTCCGCAGGTTTACCAGCATAAACACCCTCCTCCAACCTTCTTGAGTAATTATAAAGGAAATATAAATTAATCAGGTAGTGAAAGCCAGTGCTTGGATTGAGAGGGTAATACAGGGCTGAAGTTACTAGCCTCCATATTTGGAAGCGTTTGAGGGGTTCTAAGAACAAAACTAAATTGTGAGGCTTCAAAATACCAAAACGGCCTAATAACGTCAGTCCAACAGTTGACGATAACCAGTATCTTGTAAAAATAGGTACATTTCGGTACCAGTCGCCGAAATCAGACATTTCGACCTTAAATGCAAATTTTTTTACTGATTAAAAAATTAAAACAAACATAACCTAACTTACTAGAAAATTTCGTTAATGCAACTCTTCCGATATTTATAATAACACATTCATAACACCAAGTGATACTTTGGTTTAACAAATATTTTAATTCGAAGATTTACAAAAAGGATACGTGTTTTCAGAATTCTAATAAGTTTTCAACAAATTCGGTAACATGACAAATCAAACTAATGACATGGTCTTCTGCCATTGCCCGCGATATGTGCTGTCAAAAATCAAAATTTCTAGAAGGGTGACGTAGATGTCAAAAAGGTGAAATGTACAGTCAGTTGATTTGAAAATGACGCGTTCGAACAACATTTGTATAAAGACAAAATTACGAAGAACTACATACTTTTTTTAGGTATCCGTAAATAAAATACTTTGGTCGTCACTTTTCTGTAAATCAAACTTTAACGGTAAAGTTAATGAGAATTTCAAATTAATGACAGCTATTAGGTATACGGTGCGATCAAAAAAAAAAAAAATTAGAGTAGGCGGTGATTAAAAATGGCAATCCTGATTTTTGACATCAAATGTCAGCGGAAAGTTTGCGTTTTATTCCTTTTGAGTGAAATAATGTTCACTTTAGAGCAGAAAATGTTTATTACTGTACAAGACGAAAACGGTGAATGATCATTTTCATTTTCAGTTTGTGGGGAAAATTTCCATCCCAGATTCTCAGCCTATGTGTTGCCAACTGTAGAATTTAATCGACGCCTATTCTAATTTATTTTTTTTTGATCGCACGGTATTTTCCTATCAAAAATATGTACCACAGATCAGAGAGAAAAAGATCGGAAACGGCCGTGAGCCTCTTATGTAAAAAAACGACCCCTAATTCAAATCTAATGAACACCTGACTCACCAGAGGCGCAGTAATCAGTTGAATAAATAAAAACCCGCTAAATTCAAAAACACAAACGGGAATTTTGTATTGCTTGTTACTGAATTGTATTTTTTATTATAATGAATTTATTAGTGAGAAATACACATTTTAGTCCAAACAAACTTATTTAATATTAATAAACAAATCATTGGTGTAAAATGTTTTTCAATATTTGATTGTAACTTGAAACTTTAATTTTATTTTCGAATCTGCTGCCCGCCCACAGGTTCCGATTATTGAAAACATTTTCAAGAACAAATTCGTCGAATCTTCATTACATAAATTGACAATATGAATAATTTGTCCTATGTTTATAAAATTTTCAATTAAAACTTATAATTATAAATTATAAGTGGGAAATTAGTATCAGAATTAATAATATTATCAACTTCAATAACCTTCTCAACATTAGTTTCCTCTCCTGGTTCTGAAATCAAAAAGTATGGAAAGTACTCTTTGGCAGTATGTGAAAAATCTTATTAAAATTTGCTACATTTTTTATAGATATAACTTATGTTGGGTATAGCTTATTAATACAAATCTTAGCCATTTTCTTTCCAACTGCTCTTGAGCAAAATGATCACTGCAAACCCGAAAATTTTGTTTGGTAGATATAATTTACTTCTAGTAATTCTTTCCGATCTACAGCTTCTAGCCATTTCCGTGCTCTAAAATTTCGAATATCCGTAAATGATGCTCACAACACTTACAATTTTTATTTACATTGACGAATCTGTGGGAAGTGTAAAAAAGTGAAATCGTTGTTATTCAATTTATTATTATAACAGTATTTCACAATGCAGTAATTGCCGTGACGCATTTTTTAGCAGAAAAACACAAACTTATTAAAAAACTTATTATAAAAATCACAATCTGAAAGTTTCTGCTACGGAGAACTACATACTAGTTAGAGACGAAACGAGATACAAAATTGCTTGATTTTTTGGACCCCAAAAAAAGTAGTACGGCGGAGTAAAAGTGAGGGCGCTTAGAGCGTTTTACCGTCTCAATTTCAAATCGTTTTTAATTAATTTAAATTCAACCAGTTTACTAATTGCTTGGAAAAAAATGCAAAAATGTTGAGCTTTATATTCTTAATAAGCTGTAAAAAACGAACCACTAAATTTTTCACGAGGAATATAAGAAAAAAAAAAATTTTAATTCAAAATCAACGTTAAGACTGTTTGGCATTTCCATTCGAGCAGGCACGTTCGACCGTTTCAGATGGGATGGAGCCGATGGACGGCAGTTGTCGGTTTTCCGGCATTGGGATGGGTTGATGGAGAGTTGACGAAAATTGATAAATCGTTTGCACAAATTATTAAGAATTTTGACTGAGTAATCACTTATCGCATTTGACTTATTTTGAAAGGAATAAAATAATATTTGAAACGTTTCTTTAAAATAAAAAATTGATCTGATTCATGGTTTTGATGTCCAAAGTCACCATTTCACAAAATAATTAATTTATTGTTTTATTTACTAATAAATTTATTAATTAATGTAGAAGTTAAGGGTTGTTTACTATTTATCAACAGTAAAGGATTTTATGTGATTTTGGTGACATTTTTCACAGAAATCGAGTTGTGGCTTCATTTTCAATGAAATAAAATTTTTACAGCAATTCCTAATATTCCAAGTCAAGAGTGCGGTTTAAATTTATAGGGTGGCTCTAATTATGCCGCTGAGTTGGGTTTAACCCAGGCAAAAATTTGTCCTTAAGGGTGTTATTTGCCTGCAACCTTTTTGCCCTGTGTATTAGAATTCCGATAATAAACATAAAATGTCTTAGGCAAATAACACCCTCAACGACAAATTTTTGCCTCGAATATATTCAAATCAGTGTTAATTTTCAATTCTTTACCTAAATCCGCCTTTATGTAAAGAATTAACAAGTTTTTACTTATTTCAAAAGCTATAGATTAAAATCAAAAAATGGGAATCTTCAGCTTTACCACTTTATCATTCGGCTTTTTGAAAAAGTGTAGCAATTTACAAAATGAATTTTTTCCTTCCATTAGGCGACAAAAGATTAAGACAAGATACTCGTATCTTATAACTCGGTCTGGTAACTGTGATTTGGTGCGGTCATTATCGTATCGTATAAGATATCGTAAATTTCGAACGGAACCAATTCATACTTCTGACCACAGAATGGCAAAATTTTACCGAATGGAAACGGATGGCCTGCGGGCACATTGTCTATCCCTTACCTGATTCATGGTTTTGATGTCCAAAGTCACCATTTTACAAAATAATTAATTTATTGTTTTATCTACTACAAACTTCTTCGCATTGATTGCACAAGACGTTGACAAGTATCTTGACCTCTTAATTTAGCCCACACAGGAATTGTTTTGTTTCTTTCTATTATTCGAAAGTTTTATCAGATAGCAAAGGATCACAGGTAAAGGATTTCATATGAATTTGGTCAAATTTTTCTTAGAAAACCTTGACAATGTGCCCGCAGGTCATCCGTTTCCATTCAGAAAAAAATTATAAAGTAATAAAGCTAAAGATTCCCATTTTTTTAAATTTTAATCGATAATCCTTTACCTGTGACCGTCGTTTGCTATCTGATAAAACTTTCGAATAACAGAAATTTGGCCATTCTGTGGTCAGAAGTATGAATTGGTTCAGTTCGCAGCCCCAAATCACCGTTACCAGACCGAGTTATAAGATACGAGTATCTGTCTTAATCCTAAGTCAATCCTTTACTACACTTTTTCAAAAAACTGAATGATAAAGTAGTAAAGCTGAAGATTCCCATTTTTTGATTTTAATCGATAGCTTTTGAAATAAGTAAAAACTTGTTAATTCTTTACATAAAGGCGGATTTAGGTAAAGAATTGAAAATTATCACGGATTTGAATATATTCCAGGCAAAAAGTTGTCGTTGAGGGTGTTATTTGCCTAAGACATTTTATGTTTATTATCGAAATTCTAATACACAGGGCAAAAAGGTTTCAGGCAAATAACACCCAAATTTTTGCCTAGGATAGACCCAACTCAGCGGTATAATTAGAGCCACCCTATAAATTTAAACCGCACTCGTTCACTTGGAATATTAGGAATTGCTGTAAAAATTTTATTTGATTGAAAATGAAGCCACAACTCGATTTCTGTGAAAAATGTGACCAAAATCATGAGGTTATTAAAGAACAGGTTGTTTTAGAGTTTACATTATGAAAATGACAATACTACCCAAAATTTTAATTCCGCAACTGTACAGGGTGCTGCATTTTGGATGTCCGTGTAGGGAATCTCCGAAAGTAAGAGGTTTTACCAAAAACGTGTGATACATTCTGGGGCTCATTTTGGAGGAAATAATATTGGTTAAAACCACATTCCACTATCATCTTTTGTTTTCGACTTATAGACAAAAATTGACATTTTAGCGAAATCTAAAAAAAAAATCACATCTTCTTTATTATAGAAGATACGGATTTGAAATTTCATTTCGCTTTCTGTAAACCGGCTCCTAAACGAATTTATCTTGAAACTACATCAAGTTTGCAATCCGATAATTTACGATCTTGCCTGCTTGCGGTTAGAAGGGTCGGCATCCACAGCAGGGGCTGGTTTATTGAAACGTCATTTTTACTTTGTTCGACTGTACCTTTGACGGTACAGATTTAGCATTTTTGTGGCATTCTCCACATATCAAGATTATGTTAGTTTTTTACATTTCGAATTCAAGGGGAAAAAAGTAGAATTGATGACATTGTTAAATTTAATGCATGACGTATCAACAATCACTTTTTTGATTTAAAATTAATAATTTAAATTTTGCAAACGCAACAAAAGCCAAGTTATCTGTGAGGATGTATTTTAAGATGCGTGTCTAAAAATCGGTTAGAGTCTTTATACGGGCTATTAGACGCGACTGTACTGCAGCAAAACATACAGTGTTGCCAGTTGTGATACTAGAGTACCAAATTGATACTAGATTTTTTTTACTAGATATTTATATTTACTTGTAAACAAATAATAATTTATATTCTCAGCCAAATACACATTATGTGAATGTTAATATATTTTATTTTGTTTTGTTTTGGTACGGCCTATCCACTCCTGTCGTTTGCAACGTTCTGGCAATGCTGTAAACATATTTTCGACGTACACAGAAAGTGAGGTTAGAACAGATTAAATTACAGAAATGTTGACTACAATTGTTAAAACCACGGCTTCCTTGATTAATGAAGGAAGTTTCCCTTCACCCGGCTGGTCGCATTGCAAAAAAAGTGGTTCAGACAGCGTACTCTAATGTATCGCCATCTGTTAATTTCTTCCGAAAACTTTTCTTGATACCATAGTTACCAAAATCACGCGCCAAACGTCGTAATTATTTGAAATTTAAGTTAGAAATTGGATTTCTCTGTGGATATTTGTTAAGAAAAGTTGAGGAGACTGTAAAATGTACTGCTTGTCTAGTACCCTTAACCAATTATTTTGAGTCAAAAACAAGTCCCCTCTTGGAATTAATTTATAATCAAGACAGAGGAAAGCTCAAATATTCATCTGAAAAGTTTATTGCGTTAATTCATTGTCATAGGAGTGATTTTGGAAATAATACCCAGTGTGCCTACGCAAGATGTAGACTACATTTTGAAAACAATAATTGTTTCATATTTAAATGAAAATCCCATATTCTCCTGCGAGGAACATCGCACTGCCTGCGGTATTATCGTTGGCAAATTTTTGCAATCTCTACACACAAAGTACTAGGAAAAAAAGTTATATTTATTCAAAAAAACTAAAAATTTTGAAAGTAAATTAAATTTTCAAATTTGTACAAAATGCGTTTACTTCTTTATCTTATAACCCCCCTACGGGCCTAAAAGACCTTGAACGTATTGGTTGTGCACTTGTATTCTAACAAGCTGTTGCACTCTTGCAGGTTTAGTCACTTATAATTGTCAGGGATTTAATACGGCACAATACACATTACTCTAGTACAATCTTCAATTATTAGAATTAATGGTTAATATTCAAATAAAAGAAAATGAAACCACCTTTATCAGATAGCCACATATCACGAAATTATTTACTTTTCGAAAAAATCATTAGTGTGAGATTGTGACGTGCGTATTTAATTCCTAATGGCATTATACACAAGCGAAATGTGGCCAAATTACGTTTTTATAAATGTACTAACGCCTTTTTGCTTTCCACTGACAGGAGTGTGACAGCACATAACCTTATTAACTGTCAAAATCTTGTACCTTAATGTGGCTCCCTCTCGAAACCAAAAAAAAGGCACGGAACTAATGAATGCGACTAGCCGGGTGAAGGGAAACTTCCTTCATTAATCAAGGAAGCCGTGGTTAAAACCATTACGAAACGACACACATTTTTCATAGCAACTATTTCCTTAGAAACAATCTCCCTACACGTCCAGGATTCAAGAAATAAACTTTTATTTATTTAGCTTCAAAGGTACAGTCTCGTACCTTGCTGACGTCACACTAATAGCGCGTATTATAAATGACTCAGCCTGTATATGATAATAATAACAATATTCGACGAGTTTGAGTGTAAAGCGGACGCTTTATTTCACAAATGGATTTTTAAACAACGAGCGTTAACTAATCAACCACAAGATGGAATAAATGAATCGATTTACACATCCTATTCTGAGAATTAGACTCAACAAGGTTTAAAATTACTTTAAATCTGTTAAAAATAATCTGACGTTTCGTATTGAGAAATGACAAACATTTGTCAAAACTTTCTTACACAGGCGAAAAAAAAATTTGATAGTGTCGAAGAATAAATTCCATTAATTTCAACAATTTTATTATTTCGTAATGAATAAATTTGTCATATGAGAAAAAAATGTATTTGTAAGTATGATTTTGTCTGTTGTATTAGTTATAATAAGTGTGTTTTTAATGTATTTTTTTTCCTATAGCTTTATCTAATGATGTATCCCCCGCTGAGATTTTGACCGCAGTTCAGACACTCTCTAAAAACGGACCGCAATTCGGACCTGAAACACCCAGTATTGAAAACATTTTTTTGTGGAACAGCCACTCCACATTCGACTTCTTTTTTCATAAATGTTATTAGTGTTCTTAGTTATTATGTTCACTATCACTATGTAAAACTTTTGTTTTATCCCAATAGTTTTTTAGTTGACATGATCGCAAAAAATACCAGTTGCTAATAATCAAACACAACACAAAATACATCTCATTTTGTTTAACAGTTTTACATATTTTTTGTCGCCTTTTTCGTTACATAGTTTACACGCAAAATTATTTGTTAAATAAAAGTTCAAATTAGCCTGCTTGAAGGAATCAACTTTACCTATCTCTGTGATTACCATACAGCTCTAAAAGTGATAAAATTGATAAACTACCATTTGCTCTAATTTTTCTAATATATCCGTGTGTACTTGCCAAGATAAGACTCATAACAGTTCCAATATTATCAGAGTTCCATGAAAGTGTCTACAAAAAATGAACAATGGAATGGACTTTTATAAAGAGACTTAAAGTTCAAACCCTATTAATACGTCTTATCAGAAATGTTCTATTGACCACATTAGTGAGAAAAAATAAAAATTTTTGAGGGCGGCAAAATCACTCCTAGATCTAGATGCAAGTGATGACACTAAGATTAGAGAAAAATCTATTATTGTTATTTTAATTACACACATCTGATAACCCGCAGGTAGGAATGCTTTATCTTGTTTATCAAACTTTGCACTTTTAATGATTTAAATGTTGAACATAGGTTAAATTTTAAATGACTGTTGATAAAAGTTTGTCGAGTGTAGACCTAAACATGTTTTGGGACATTTGCTGCTGTCGGCGAGACAAAAAAGGTAAAACAGAAGAAACTGCCAATTCAAATTCAGGTGAGTTGTGATGTTTATGTTTTAATAAATTCTTATTATGTATTTGTAGTAAATGAATCTCAGAATACTCAAATTAGTGTTATAAGCGCGAATGGCACTGGGGAAAATGGTTCAAATAGTCCCTACCGAGAGCGGACAGGAACGGAATCCAGTGTTTCTAGTATGCATAGTATAAAATCGTTTTATAGTGTCAAGTCAACGATGTCGCGAGACGGAGATTTCTACAGTATCTGTAGTGAAGAATCTTTTAAAAGTACTTAGTAGTTCTATGACATTAAAGTTTATATGTCTGAACCTAAATGTTTATTGTATATTTTTTTTGTAATAAATTTATTTATGAAGAAATGCGTCGTCCTATACATTGAATTTTTTTGAAAATAGGAAATATATAGGTGCGCCAGAACTCGCGCCCCAGAGAAAAATGTCAAATGCCGGGGGCAATAGGTCGCCAAAAAGTGCAGCCGAAGAAGTAATTTTTGCTTGCATAAGACATTTATTAGACTCTTAAATCCACCAATCCCAGAAGGGCAACTCAAGGTGTGGTTGAAAAATTATATCCGTTGCTAGGTTACGAAAATAATACCAATTTGCCCAGAATTTAAAAAAATCGCTGGTCTACTGTAATTTTGAGTTTGACATTTATTAATTTTCGTGATGTGGGTGACATAACCTGCTAGTTTCCAGTCTTTTTCTCGCTGAAGAGGTTGTACACGAGTATAATGAGACAGAATCTCCTTAATTATTATTAATAATTATGAAAAATTATTTTGAAACATTCTGGAAATTCCTGATGAACCGACTTCTCTAAAACTTCTTCACAGGTATTGTTCCTTCTTAACTTTTTCTTCGATCTGATACACATTAACAAACCGATAAATGAATTTTAGAGCTTGAAAACTAAATAATTTTTCAATCACACCCTGAGGTGCCCTTCTGGGATTGGTGGATTTAAGAGTCTAATAACTTTCTTATGCAAGCAAAAATTACTTCTTCGGCTGCACTTTTTGGCGACCTATTGCCCCCGGCATTTGACATTTTTCTCTGGGGCGCGAGTTCTGGCGCACCTGTATACATAAATTGAAGTAGATGAGAAAACATCTTTATAAACATAATTGATTTTTCAACTTTAAGAGTTCTATATTAATTATTATTATTATTGATGACAATAATAATATGAACGAAAATGACATGTTATAATATCTTATCACATCTTCAAAAACCTTAGCTTTGCACAAGCTAGTTTAAAACAAAATTAACATTTGAAAACACTTGCCACAACGCAGTCAAATTTGGTAATGAAAATAGTAAACTTTTTACTCTCTGTTTTAAATGAACTGTGTATTTTCCATGTCGAGATATTTCTAGTTGTAATCGCCTCCAAAAAATTCAAAATACGTCTTGTAGTTTCGTGTTTGATCTTCGTAAATAAGACAGCATTTCAAATAAAATAAATGAGCTTGGCTGGTTGAATATTTTTGTATGTGCTCACAAAGTTTTACTAACGTTATCTTCAAATTACTTAAAAGAAAAACTTGTGTTCAGAAACAGCCTTCAAGAGAAACCGTTAAATTTACATCACACCTCCACTCTCAAGATCTCAAGATTCCATACTGTTTTGTCTCGCGGAGATGTTTTACATATAATGCAGTTACTCTTTATAATAATCTGCCAAAAGAAGTTAAGTCATTTTCGGTGAGCAAATTTTGTGCTTTTTATAAAAAAATTCTACTTTACTGTCCAAAAAAATATTAGTGTTAAAGTACCTTTATTGTTTATTCGATTTTGTACTCATTATTGCTGTCATTACTTCTTTCTTTTTTCTTTTGTAATCAACTAAATTTTAATTCAATTTATATGTTTACTTAGTTGAGATTAAGTTGAATAGCCTGTTGGATAAACTTCGCCTACCTATGTAAAAAGCAGCGCGCTTTTACCCTACATACCGACTTTGCTTCGAATAAATTGTGGACTCTGACTTTGTACATTTATTTTAATTATACCTCAGTCCACTATAGAGATGACCTATTAATATTAACAGGTTTTGATAACAATAGTACAATATACGTAGAGGTCTTAGAATTCTAAGTTATCCGTAAACGACAGGATTTACAAGATAGTAGGATCGGCGATGGCGATGGGACAATGGGTCCCTTTGGGCGTTATTCACCAACTCTCACTTGTTTTCTAAAATTTTTAAAGCATCAACTTTTTCACGTCAAACACCTTGGAAACAAATAAATTTTATATCAAAAGTCACATAACACATTTAAATAATGTTTCAAAAACTTTCCATCATGATCTTCTTTCTGTACTTCGCTCAAACGTTGGCGGAAGACTCAAAGCAAAAAGAATTTCGAAGCAACGCCGAGAAGTACCTTTTCATTTTCGGCTGCATCATACTGGTGACCAAGACTCGTCACTTCATCATAGTAAGTTTTTCCTTACTCCTCATTATAAGACTTAATCTCAATGCAGAACACCGGAATCCCTGTCCCTTACTCCGCCGTCTGTATGATTTGCGGCGTACTGTGGGGAGTCGGAACTTGGTATAGCCCCTTCATGACCAATATCGCTTCAGTTTCGAATATTATCATCAATGAACTTGATGTCATCTTTCTTCCGGCGATGGTTTTCAGCATTGCCATCTGCATGGATATCCACACCTTTCTTTATTCTCTTCCACAAATTTTAGTTATCGCTTTCCCAGGTATATTTCATATAGTAACAAATTCACAATTTTTTAATCAGTTGCCATTCTTGCGAGCGTCATGTTTGGAATACTGATGCGCTTGGTGATCGACCGGAGCTGGTCAGTGGCTGATAGTCTGTACTTCGGGGCGTTAACACAAGCTATCTACCCTACAGAAATGCTCCGGTTATTGAAAGAATCTGGACATCGCACAAAATACGTCTCGATTTTGCTCGAAGGAGAAACACTTCTATCGGTTTCAATCGCTGTAGCATTCACACAAATTTTAGGGTTGCATATTGGTGGATGGATTGCCCACTGGTACCAATGGATGATGGGGTTGGTGCGAACTCTCGTCGTTGGTCTGTTGATTTTTTTTTCGTAATTGTGACTACATTTAAATTTATTAGCTTTGCCGTTAGGTTGCCTCTTTGGAGTTTTCGGAATTTTTCTCATGAAACTATCGTATACCGACACTCCTGGACTTTTAATGGTAACAGTATCAATGTGTTATATGAGTTATTTCGTCGTTCATTGGATCACAAATGCTGGAATTCCTGCCTGTACCATTTGCGGAATTTTCATGGGGAGAGCCCGTGCAACTCTTTCGAAAGAGAGGGAAGAATCAATTATTGATTTCTGGAAAATGGTTGTTACCATAATGTGCGGAATTCTTTTTGTTGTGGCTGGAGTAATTGCACCGATTATTTTACGATACGACACACAATTGAAAGATTATATCCTAGTCTTAGTCACTTATCTCATGGCGAATGTGACACGATTTCTTAGTTTTTTCTTGTTTTCGCCGATTTTATCAAGGACTGGTTACGGCTTGTCATTCCAAAATATGGTGATTTGTGTTTGGGGAGGTTTAAAAAACCCTCTAATCTTAAATTTAGCAGTAGACTTGACTATGAAAGTTTATCTAGATAATGCACACCAAAGACAAATTCTTTACTTACATGTCGTCGGTCTGTATTTGTTGATGCTTTTCATTAATGCTACTTTTATACCAGTTCTGTTAAGATCTTTAGGATTAATGGAACTGTCCCTCTCCAGAAGAATTAACATGAACAACTGCTTGAAATTTATAAATGAAGCAAGATCACGGACCATTGCCATCCTAAAAATGGATAGGTAATTAAAAAAAAAACAATTTTTCCTACATAAATATGATTCAAGGTTCCTTTCGGACGCGAATTGGCCACTGGTATCCGAATGCACGACTTTAGAACATCCCTACAGAAAAAAAACTTCAACTGAAGCGGAACAAGAAGAAGAAGAAGAAGACGAGTATCTCCTATCCTACAAATTCACATTTTGTCCAGATTGTCAAAAAGAGGTACCAAATGAACCCTCTCCTAAAGAAATGAAAGACATGATGAAAGAAGCCAAACTCAGAATTCTCAAACTAAAGAAAACAGCCTATTCGAGACAATACGAAAATGGAATGATTTCAAGACATGCGATTCGAACCATGCATCAAGCAGTAGAAATCGCTATGGATAGCCAAGAAGCGACGATCGAACTCGATGGCCTTTACAAACTGTTCGAAAAAGAGGTTGCTTCCATCCTTGATGCAGTTTTCTCAAGTCAAATTTTGCCAGGCTTTCTTCTTTAGATTTCTTCGAAATCATCTCCAGAAGATCCTCAAAAACAAGGGTGACCAACTTAAACCGCCACGATTGGAATGGCGCTTGTGGTGTTATCGCATTGTTACCCATGTTGCCTTTACCATTTTTATAAACATGGTCGTTTTAATTCAGACGATATTCATCATATATTATTTTGCCACTAAAGTGGAAAAACATCATGTAATGTATATTGTGATAGTCAATGCTGATATTTTCTTTTTCATTATGTACTTAACTGAATTCTTATTCAAAATCTTTGCCTATTCGTGGATTTTGGTTTGCAGGCATGGATTTCGAACTTACTTCAGGTAGTATAACAACTTAAAAAAAATCTAATCTTATTTTTTTTTAGATCGTGTTGTAACGTCTTAGAATTTATAATTTTAATTGCTGTATTTGCTCTAATTATCTTTCATGGTGTAATAAACTTAACTAGAGCCAATATGTGCTATTATGTTGATTTAGCAGTTTGCATTCTTCTCGGATTAAGATTATTGAGGGTTTTGAAACTTGTTAACTATTTGGCTTTTTGTCGAAGACTGCCTGTTGCCTTGACTAAATATTTGGATGCTAAAGTCGACAAACATAGGGCTTTAGCTTTTGAATTGGGAAAATGTTACATTACTGGGGAAGAAGAGATATTAGAGAACCTTCACCAAATCGTCGATAATGACAAAATTAGAGAAAGTATACGAGAAGGAATCGAAAATGATCGTCTTGCCATAACCAAAAGATTAGGCTTGGCCCAAAAAGAATCACCATGGGTTACCACGACTGTCAAAACACGACTGGCCATGAGAACAGTCTTAAATAGTTTGAAGGACGATATTTACGAGTTGAAACTTTCTGGTTGGGTTGACGATCTTGAATATGACAAACTTTTGAAATCCCTATCGAAAAGATATAAATATGTTGATGCAGTGAAACTGATTCCACCTCCGACAAGTAAAGCTGTTTTTAAGGAAATTTCTTATATGGGAGACGAACCCGAGTTGATTGAATTTTTGTACACAAATCTGTCTACAAAAAAATTTGATCCAGGTGAAGTAGTAGTTAAAGAAGGAGAAAATCTGGAGGGAATCTACATTCTGATCTCGGGGATGATGATGGTGTCTTATACACCACATCCCTTAATTCTTGACAATTTGAAAGAAAAAGGATCCATACCTGTTGTGGATCACATATGTTCACTTACGTACGACGAACCAATGAGTGAATATATTGTCCCAGGAAATAGTATAGGCGAACTCTCAATACTATCTGGGAGGGGTTACGATGGTAAAATCATCTCAGAAACACACAGCCAAGTCTACGTTTTGTATAAACCAATAATAAAAACCGCGATGGAAATGGACGACGATCCTGTCAATGGACTCGAAAGCCGAATTTGGAAATACATCAGTTTTAAGAGAGCGTTGACTGTCATGATGAACGTACCTTCATTCCGGTCTTTAACACAACAAAATCTAAAATACACACTCGAACGTTCATTTATACCGAACCTTTCAAATTATAAAGTTTTCGTTATAAATGAAATGATGGAAGATATTATCCTCATAGAAGGTCTTGTTGTTGATTTTAATACGAGGGACGTATATGCGGCTCCGTGTTATATTCCAAGGTGACACCTTAAAATTAAAATTATACTTTAGTCTAAGGAATTTTAATAGAGCATGTCAGAGACTCATATTGCCGAGAAGTAGTTTTGCAAATTTTGACGTAATAATAGAAACGAAACTTTTGATAATTCCCGCCAAAGATTTCGATGAATATGAGATAATGATCCATGAAGAAAAAACTTGTGAACTGGTGAGGCTTTCATTAATCCAAGTTGAAACTAAGACAATGTTTTAGGTAAGCAATGAAACAAGTAAATGTTTGCAACATTTAATTCAAACAAAAGCGTCTCTGAGTGCAAGAGTTGCTAAACACAAAAAGAGTGGAGTACCAAGTCTTACTAAAAATATTAGACGAAAAATGGCAGGAGGGATTGATTCAACTAAGAGCAAAATGATTTTCGTAGGAAAAATTTTGTTACAGCTGAGTTTTTCTTGGTCTATAATAATTACCTATATTATTAGTTTTATTACTTCGTTCAATTTTTCATATTTGCAATAACAAAATATAGAAACAGAAAGTCTTAGCTGAAACAGAACATATTTGCAATAAACCAATTATTTTTAGATGGCGTCTAAGTCGAGAATGTCGACCAGTTCAGGGCCTAATTAATTTGTTGTTGTGTTTTTTTACTAATAGAAGAATTTTTGCTCAAATTCGAAATCACATGATTTTTTATTCATAATCATAAAGCAAAATGTAATAAAATTACCTTGCATGTGAAAAGTTGGAAAATATGATATTTCAAACACTGATATGAAATGTTATAGTTCAGGTTAGAAAGTGGTGACTTATCAGGTTTCGGGTTGGGAAGTACCTAACCATTTCCCAACCTATGTTTTTTTAATTTTCTGTTGCTCGTTCAGGAATTTCCGTTCAGGAGGAGTATGTACAACGGTGAGCATTCAATTTTGGTAAGTAATGTCATTTTGAAACTTCATCTTTGTGTACGTTCCATTTCAGTATTACTATTACAGGGTGTTTCACACAACTTTACGAAGCTTGCGCCAAATTTCCGCACCCAAATATGCAAAATTCACAAAACACTACACACATTTAATTATTTAATTTTTGGAAACCCATCACAGTCGTTGTCAAATTATTAATAGACATAAACTGCAGTTTTTCAGAAACAATTATCTTAACCACTCACTAACTAAAAATGTAATTTTTGTTAGGATGAACAAACTAGAGGAGATTATCCAATTTTTCAAAATTTGTCGAGTTCGTAACGGAATGTGTATACTGATTGCATCTTACAGGCGCAGGCCTCGTAAAATTGTGTGAAACACCCTGTATAACATCGGACATTTTCGTACAATATAGTCAAGTTAAGTAACAAAAACAATCGACGTTATTTTGACAAATGTCCTTTAACAAAAGAAAATTTTATTTGTTGCTTGCTTAATAAAAACGTAAAATGCAATTTCAAAATTTGATAAATTTACAAGTTTTATGTTCTTTAAAGACGATGATTGTGAAAAAATACCATGTGATCGAAAAAAATAAATAAATTAGAGTAGGCGATGAGTAAAATCCTTCAGATGGCAATCCTGTCAGCGGAAACATTGACAAGGTTGCGTTTTACTCAATAATATTCACTTTAAAGCAGAAAATCTTTATTGTTACAAGTTATTACAAAAATGCTGTACAGGGTGCTGCATTTTGGATGTCCGAATAAAGAATCTCCGAAAAAAAATATATTTGTAACAAAATATTTTTTTATAACTATACTCAAAAACTGAAATACATATTTTGATTGATAATAGTTGGCCATGGAAAAACTCTTTCACTCCAAATGTGTAAATAATAATCAATAAGAGTTTTGTGAACTGTAAAATAGATGAAAAAATAGATAAAATTATAAAAATTTAAAAAATACGATACGGTAGAAGTATTGAACAATTATGCGAGCGCCTCTGAACAAAAATTATTATATATTTTTAAGAAAACCACAAATATGAAAAACAAAGGTGTCAGCAGCCCACACAATTAGAAAAAACATTTTTTTGATGATCTAATGGAGGTAGGATAACGTTTCACATAGACGGAATTTAGGTATTTGAATAGCCATATCGTCATTTTTGTGTCACATAAAATTTATTTTATTGAAGAATTAAAGCGGCTTTTTTTTACAACACTGTATGTAGTTACAATGGTAATGTTAGCTTGTTTAAAAACAACGAAATGTTATTAGTCACCAATAAGTTGATTTACGATTTATTTTGCGTTTTTTTCGTTACTTAGTACTTAGAAAACTCTTTCATTAATGACACTGGTTGAATAATATACCAGGTGAATAAAAAGTATGGAACCAAACGTTTTTTCCTTAAACTATTTATTTTTTGAAAAAACTAATTGATGAGTGATAAAGTACTATAAAAATGTGATGATTTAACAAGAATAAAATTTTTCGACATTTCCTTTTGTTTTTGGGTTCTACAAAAAAAAAAAATTAAATGGCAACCCACTATAAAATCATTTTCTCGTAAAAGCTATACTCTAAGGATTACAACTATCTGCTTTATATTTAATTTTTTCAAAAAAATTTTTCACATAAATTGCAATTTTGACAAAAAAAAATCGCATAACTCAAAAACAAAACAAAATTTCGTTCTGAAAATACGATCACCTTTCTTATATTACTTTAATTTATATTAATTATTATTTTCTGGAAGCAAATGATTAAATATAAAACCGCTTGGTTCCATACTTTATATTCACCCTGTAGTTTAAATCTTTTTAGTTGAAGATGTAACATTTTTTCATGGCCAACTGCGAATAAAAATCAAAAATAATTTTTTGCTAAAACTGTATTATAATAATTTGTTACAAATATATATTTTTTAGATAAGAAAAAAACAAGCTTTCTAAAAATGACATAGCCATCTATGGATTCCCATTTAAAAAAATACAAGTTTATATTATTACGGCTAAACCAATAACTAAAAAAAAATGTTAGCCACATTATTAAATTCCTCGTAAAAAAGCGCCTCTGTAATGTGTTTATTTCAAATCTGTATCTTCTATAATAACGAAGATATGAATTTTTTTAGATTTCGCCAAAATGTCAACTTTTGTCTGTAAGTCGAAAACAAAAGAGGATAGCAAGATGCGGTTTTCACCAATATTATTTTCTCAAAAAATGAGCCCCAGAATGTATTACTCTTTTTTGGCTAAACCTCTTAGTTTCGGAGATTCCCTATTCGGACATCCAAAATGCAGCACCCTGTACAACACGAAAATGGTGAATTTCTCCATTTTGTGATGCTTGTCCTTGAAATATGCAGGATGCGCCAGAACTTGCGCCCCAGAGAAAAATGCCATATAAGGTAAGATACCAGGATCATGGAAAAAATGTTAAAAAAATTTTATCTACAGATTTGTCAACAAGAAATTACCACCTAGGATATGAACTTTTAGAAAAATTACGTTTTTCATGTTGTTTGTAACTAGAATTTTCAGAAGTAGTTTTGAATGCCTAAGGATCGATGGTTGTTGTCGGTTGACGTTTTCTGTCAACCTGCTGTCAACTATCAATTAAATTATGCATACAAGCTGACAGGTGACTTAACCTAAATTTTGACACTAATTACGGTATCTTTTGTTTGTCACCAGAAACCAACCTAACCAAATTTATGGCAACCTATTCACAAATATCTCTAAATCCTAGGGGGTAATTTCTTGTTGATACGACAATATGAAAATTTCGAAGTTATGAGGGTTTCAATTTTGCACTTTGAATCTATTTATATTAAAAGAGGAAATAAAGAAGCTGTATTCTAAATTGTAACTCTGTTCCATGTTATTTGTGGTTTTTATTGGCAAAATTTTTGTACCTTTACTAAATAATTGTAAAAAAAACATATACTAGATCATCAGTATCATTAAATAGGCATAAAAAAATGTCAAATGTCAAAAAATGAATGGCAACATTTTTTGACAGAGAATTTTTTAAACATTTTTTCCATGTTCCTGGTAGCTTATTTTACTTGAAAATTTTCTCTGGGGCGCGAGTTCTGGCACACCCTGTATTTGCTAGATTTCGTGGAAGATGGTATACAGGACAAAGGAAATAAAACCATTAAATTCGTCGCTATGTTTCGATACCTTTATTGTATCTTCTTCAGGCGAAGAATTTTCGTTGCCTGAACATGGGAGGTATGGCACAGTCAAGGAAGAACTCTTCCTTCCTTTGTCCTGTATACCATCTTCCACGAAATCTAGCGAAAATGGTGAATGTTGGTCATCAAATTTCACCTTGGTAAGAAGTAAAGTACTATTTGTATATATTTTTTTATATAGGGTGCGCCAGAACTCGCGCCCCAGAGAAAATTTTTAAGTGAGGTAAGATACCAGGAACATGAAAAAAAATGTTTAAAAAATTCCATCTGTCAAAAAATTTTGACATTTATTTTTTGACATTTGACATTTTTTATATCTATTTAATGTTACTGATGATCTTGTATATGTTTTTTTACAATTATTTAGTAAAGGGACAAAAATTTTGCCAATAAAAGCCACAAATAACATTGAACAAAGTTACAATTTAGGATAGAGCTTCCTTGTTTCCTCTTTACATAGCCTATAGAAAAAACTTGGAAAATTATTTTTCCAGCAGAAATAAATAGAGTCAAAGTGCAAACTTTAAACCCTCATAACTTCGAAGTTTTTATAGATAACATTTTTTAAACATTTTTTACATGTTCCTGGTATCTTACCTTTTTCTCTGGGGCGCGAGTTCTGGCGCACTCTGTATACAAGGTGTTCGCGGATTGCGAGCAAATATTTTAAACGCTAAAAGCATTCGTTATGAAAAGACCACACAAATTCCCAATCCAAATTTTTGTTTGCAATTTCCCCCCATGATTTTCATGAGCCGTTCAGTGTCCTTGTAAATTGGAAGTAAAAATATCAATGGATATAATTTGCACCGTGAAAGTTTTTGTATACAAAAAAGGATAACTCTGTAGACAAAAAGTTATTAGGTGTTACAAGCGTCAGTTTAGTCAGTCGTTAATGCGCTTTCGGCTGAATTGTGCCATCGATTTGAAATCAAATTGTAAATCAAATCGTTATGGCCAACAACTCAAGCGCCGAATTGACTAGTGTACGGGCATTACTTTCCAAGACAGATTTTCACTAAGTTTTATCCATGGCAACAATAAAAAACTCAATAGTGTCAAACAATTACAAGTCATAAAAATGCTAAAAAAACTCACGCTGATATTTCTATTTTTTAGCCTTTATCGGCTAGGTTTTTGCCAAGCAGATGACAAAAATATGTCTCTCGAGCAAAAAATTCAGTATGAATTAGATAGACCACTTAAGTACATTTTTTTGTTTGGTATTATCTTCTCCGTGTCCATAATTCGCTTCCTTGTGAAAGTAAGTATTAAATATTTTCCGTTCTTATTAAAATGCAACTTCAGATTGGTGGAATTCCTATTCCTTATTACCTCTTTAGCATACTTATTGGCATTTTATGGGGAATTGGTTCATTGCACAGCGATTTTATGCAAAGAATGTCGAGTGTTGCCCAAGTACCGATCCATCACATCAAAGACGTTTATTTGCCAGCTATTATCTTCACTACTGCTTTTTGTATTGATGTTCATGCATTTTGGAGATCTTTGATGCAACTATTCATAATATCTGGACCAGGTTCAAAATGTCTTATAAATAATTTGTTCTCAGTTTAGTAGTAGGAATTTTGATTGTAGGTTTGCTTCTTAGCGCTTGCATGTGTGGCATGTTGATGCGATTAGTGATCGATACTAAATGGGGATACATAGATGGACTGATTTTTGGCGGTCTGAATTGCGCAGTGTATCCTTTATACATTCTCACATATTTGAAGGAATCAAACATCCAGAGCCATCATGTGACAGTCTTGCTCCAAGGAGAAACTCTCTTTTCATCAATAATCACTGTTACGTTATATGATTTTTTAACGGCTAATCGTGAAGGATGGGTTATATACTGGTACCAGTTTGTATGTTCACTCATAAGATTGTTGTTTTTTGGTATTTGTAGTCAACGTAAAAGTTAAAAATTTATTAATTTTTTTAGCGATACCAATCGGTTACTTTTTTGGATGGCTAGGTGTTATTTTGATGAGATTTTCTAACAATAATACTGTCAAACTTATGCTACTTACATTGTCAATTGCATACTCAAGTTTCTACTTTACGCGATGGATTTGTTTTGGTGGAACTATCGCAACCACGATAGTAGGAATTCTCATGAGTAAAGAACGAATGTCTCTTTCAAAAGAAATAAACGA